GAGGTCAGGTGAATGGGGCAAGAAAGGCATGCTGTTTTTAGTGAAATGGGCACACTGAGATGGCTGTGTGAGCAAGTGTATTGTCATAGTGGCAAAACCAGTCCCCCCTCTTCTATAGATCAGGCCTGTACCTCTAAATATAAAGCTGAATTAACAGTCTGACCTGATAGACCAACTCCAAATGCACTATTACTCCCCTTACGTTAAACAAAAAACAAAACCCAAACATCATCTTAATCTTTGATTTCACTTGACAAGCTTGTTTTGGTCAAGGCGTCTTCCACTGACTTGTTTGATGTTCGATTTCAGGGTTGTAAGAATAGCACCATGTCTTGTCACCAGGAATGACCTTGGGGGGGGGGGGGTGGTCTTAAGGTGTTTCAGAGCTGTTCTTTCAAAGCATGGCGTGTTTCCACTCAACGGTCTTTTTGCTGGTCAGCCAGAACGCTATGCACAAATTTTACAGTGACCCTTATTCCTAATCTTCCATTAAAATTCGCTGAACCAAGCTCCCATATAGTACGGATAACTTCCTCATCTCTTCAGTGGTCTGTCGTTGGTCTTTGAGCACAAGTCCATGAATTTTGTCAACATTTCTCCCATTTGGGAAGATGAAGGACATCCAGAGCGAGGTTTGTCATCAATTGACATTTCACCTTTTTGAAACGAGAAGATCACTTGTACACTTAAGTTTTTCCCATAGCACTGTCCTTGTCAGCTGTGCTCACATCACAATAGTTTCTGTGGCATTTTTCCCCAAGAAGGAAACAAAATTTCACAGCCACACACTGTTCTCTTAAATCAGCCATCACAATTTTTGTGATGAGATTTAAGGGAAATTTTTACAAAAAAATTCGCCATGAACAGAGAACCTTCCCAGGATTTGCCACTGGGTGCACTAACTCAGAGCAAGTTGCTAGATGCTTGCCTCGTGGGAAAAATGCGTACTAGGAAAGCTCCGCCCAGCAGAACTTTTTTTTTTTTTTTGCATACCCCTTCATATGTTTGTTTTAACATGAGTATCACAAGGTAAAGCCACCAAGAGACGTCTTGTGTACCAAGACTGGTTTCTCACCTTCAGTGTTAGACACTGGGAGTTGTTGACAACTTTCCTAGGGTTTCAAGGCCACCTTACAAAGATTCAATTTTATATCATAATCCTTTATCATAACACAATTGTGCTAAGCCAATTTTGGGAGGTTTCTCTTACATATTTGTGATAAACCAATTTATGGAGGTTTTAGTAGATGTTACCGTGCGATTGATTTGGTGATGGAAAGAAGAAAAGAAAGCAAAGGTAAAAAACCGTCTGAGGTTAATTTCAGAGCTCCCAAAAGGGAAAGCAGAGCAGAGAAAGGGACGGGAGTGCTCCTGGGTGAGGTTCATGAGCACCCAGTTGGGGCTCCGTGAAGTCATACTGTCCAGGTGAGAGGTGGAGAATTGTATAGCCCGGGTCTTCTGGGGGGGTGGGGGCAGGTAGCTGGGGAATTTTCCACTGCAGCTTTGTTGTCTGCAGGTCCGGAGCTAAGCAACAGCGTTCAAAGTTATCTGTAATGGTTAGTTTCTGCACCTGGGCCTGAAGGCCATCAGAAGGGAGGAGGAGGAGCAGAAAAGTGTGGTCTGGCCTCTCCTGGTGTCCTTGAATTGTTTTCACCAGCTCTTATCTCCTTGCCTGTCTGCCCTGTTAATTCCCGCTCCTGTCTAACATTCCAGTGTTTTAGTGATAAAGGGATGTCATTGTCTGGCTGTTTCCTGCTGGTAGGGGGCACTGTAGGTTTAGACATCAGAGTAGGCAGAAGAGGGGAGGCCAGTGGCCAAGCAGGTGTGCGAGTGAAGTAGTAGCTGGTATACTGTGACCCTGGACAAATTTTGTATGTGCTGCTGGATAAATATGAGAAAACACGGAGCTAAGAGAAAAAGAGATAGGATTAATGGCCCTAGTAGTTGTAACAACCAGGTGGCCAAGGGATTGCAGCCAGCCAAATGAGTAATTTGTTCTCCTGTGACCATGGAGGGTCCTCACTTGGGCGGGTCAGCGTTTCTATGTCCTGCTCCACCAGCCCAGGTTCATTGATGTAATAACAGCACTCTTCCCGAGGAAGGGGCAGGTACCCCCTTTTTCATCAGAAGATACAAGGCCTATCCATTCTGTAGGGCAACTTGGGCCAGAGAGGTGATCTGGCGTTGCAACGAGGCCAAGGAGGCTGTGGGAGACTCCAAAACAGCCTGCAATTGGTCTTCAAAATCCTGTGCTGAGATGATGGAGGGGCCGAGTGCCCATCCAGCCATTCCACCTGCTGTGATTGAAGAGGCTAGACGTGTACCTACCATTATAGGAAGGGATATTGCTCTCTTTGATCTTCGGACAGAGTAACCATGCTAACTCAGACTGACCATATAGGAAAACAAGATCTGCTGTGGAGGAATTCACACATTTAGTTAAAGTTCCATTGCATCAAAAGAATTGTCCGGGGTTGGAGAAAATTTTAGTATTAGCAGTTATATTATGTCTGCAAATTCTGTGCAGAGAAAAACCATCTATTATGGATTGTGATAAGAGCTGTATGACCCCTAATAAAATGTTTAAAAAACACAAACAAACCATCTACATTCCAATCTGTGAAGTAACAGACTCGCTGTGGCTGAGTCTGAGTCTGATGTACTTCCTCTGTAAGAGACCGGTCTGCTCTGTTGTTTCCCTGTGTTACTGTGGCATCATCAGTTTGATGCCCTTCGTATTTCCAACATGTAAGGGGCCCAGTGGACGACGGCTGTGGATTCCCATGACAGACCTGGGAAAGGTGTAAGGGACCAGAGAAGGAAGGCAAAACTGAAAAGGTAGCTCCTGTGTCGACCAAAACTTTATCCACTACCTTGATTGTTACCCTAGGCTCGGCAGGGTGATGGGGGTCCTCGAGTCTGGCCTCCATCAGTTCTCAGCAGCTAGGCCCTATAGTGTCAAAGGCGGGTCAGGGCTTGGAGGGACTGGTCTTCCATGGCTGGGCGCCGAAGGACAGACACTTCTCCAGTGGCCCCATTGACCACACACCGGACAAGGCTTGTTGGGTAGAAGAGGTTGTGGGCAGCACTTGACTCAGTGACCTTGCTGTCCACACTTGAAGCAGACTCCTGGGGGTGGTCTGAAACTCTTGTTCCCCAGGCCTAAGAAAGATGCCTTTGTCGTCTTGGTTGCCAGGGCCTTAGGACTACAATCAAGGCTTGGTCCTGTAAGTTTGCCTTCTGGCAATTTCAGGACTCGCTGTCTGCCTCTGCCTGCTCCTCTCTGGTATTAAAGACTTTAAAGGCCATATTTACCAGGTCCTGGCTGTCTTTGGCCTTGTTAAACATTTTTCTAATGTCTGTAACTGATTGAGTAATGAAATATGTGGTGAGGACAGTGGCCCCTGCTGGTAAGGTTGGGTCTAGAGGGGGGTGTATTGGGTAAGGGCTTCAGTCAGATGATTTAAAAGTGCTGCCAGATTTTCATCCCACCTTGAGTAATTTGCCTGAGTTTATCAAAGTTTACTGCTTTGTGAGAAATTGCCTGGAGGCCGGCCAAGACACTGGAGCATTTTATTATCTTGGTGGGCCCGGCCTGCCTGGCCTGCCTAGGTATTGGTCTGGTAACTCCAGCCTGGTTCCTGCCTCGGGACTGCCTTAGTACCCACAGGCATGTTGGCTGATTTCAATGTCCTTCACCATTTCTCCGGTTTCGGCACCAAATGTGAGGTTCATTTGGCGATGGAAAGAAAGAAAGCAAAGATAGAAAAACATTTCACAGGTGTATTTCAGAGCTCCCCAGAGGGAAGAGAGAGCAGAGAAAGGGATGGGAGCATCCTGAACTCCTGGGTGAGGTTCATGGGCCCCCAGTTGGGCCCTCCCCCCACCCCCCCTGCGAAGTCACACTGCCAGTTGTGGTGAGGTAGAGAGTTTTATAGCCCGGGTCTCGGGGAAGGGAGTAGCTGGGGAATTTTCCACTGCAGCTTTGTTGTATGCAGGTCCGGAGCTAAGCAACAGTGTTCAAAGTTATCTGTAATGGTCAGTCTTCTGTACCTGGGCCTGAAGGCCACCGAAGGGGAGGGGGGGGGGGCAAGGAGGGGCTGGCCTCTCATAGAATCCTTGAGTGTTTTCACCAGCTCTTATCGCCTCGCCTACCTGCCCTGCTAACTCCCAGTTCTACCTCACAGTTACCTTATTGTGGCACTGCACATTTTTCTTGGTAATTTAGAAATGATCTGATTATGAATGACAGTTTGCCGGTGTGGATGTGAAGCCAGTCATCTAGAGCAGCGGTTCTGAAGCTGTGGGTCGCACCCCTTTGGGGGTGGAATGACCCTTTCACAGGGATCGCCATAATTTTAATGGTTGGGGGTCACCACCATATGAGGAACTGTATGAAAGGGTCGTGGCGTTAGGAAGGTTGAGAACCCCTGATCTAGAGGTTGTTTATTGAATTCTCCTATTTATTACTTTCTGGTGTTAGATATTTTCTAAATTATTTTCTAGTGACTAGTATGTTCCAACAGCTTGTAAACGTCTAAGAAAGCAAATTTTCTCGTTAGAGATCATCAAAAAATTATGTTTGTATTTCTTTTTTTTAATGTGATAATTGTGAGGGAACTGTATGTATGCAGTCAGAAAGCATAACTGTTGAAAATGCTGTGAAAGGCTGTGTAACTTGAGACCTTAACCCCACCTACTGTTGAGTCCCTTTGGATTCATAATGACCCTGTGGGACAGAGGAGCGCTGCTCCTTAGCATTTCCAGGACCAGACTGCCTGTTACTTCTTTCATAAAGTGCCTGGGTTGAACTGCCAATCTTTGATTAGCATTACTTAACTCATTGTATCACCAGTGCTCTGCTAGGAACATATGTAACTAATAGTATGTTCAATAGATATTTAGTGATGATAATATGTTTGTATTAATTCAGGTGGCAATCATAAGTTTTCAAAAAGTAGCAAGCTTATTGTTGTTTTCCATTTATTTTTGCATTTAAGGGAGGAAAAGACTGAGCAGTTGCTGGACTGTAAACAAGAACTTGAGCAAATGGAAATAGAACTAAAAAGGCTACAACAGGAGGTTTGTACCTGGAACTTTACTTATTATATAGGACCTCCCACATAATTGGAAATAGATGTGTTTCTCCTTGTAGTATGTAACCTTTATGCTTTATATAGCAAATGAAGTTACTGGATAGCTTTTCAATGTTTGTTTAATAATAACAGACCCCAAACTAGAAATCAAAGTCTTTCACTTTTTTTTTTTAAATATAAGATCATTTTATTGGGGACTCTTGCAGTTTGTATAATAATCCATACATCATTTTTATCAAGCATATTTGTACATATGTCATCATCACTATTTTATTAACATTTACTTTCTATTTGAGCCCTTGGCATCACCTCCTCTCCCCTTCCAGCCCACCCAGCCTTTTTGATTTTTATCAATGCAAAGTCTCCAGACTTCTTCCTATCTCAGTGCCATTCAGACTGCGTTGCTGGCTGCCATCCAGTCCGTTGATGACTCTAAGTGATCCAATAGGACAAAGTAGAACTGAGCCACAGAGCTTCTAGGCTGTGATATAAAGGAGCAGCCAGGACTTTCTCCTGCAGAACAACTGCGTTTGCCACCAACCTTTTGGAAAGCAGTGGGTGCTCAACTGATGTGCCATCCAGACTTCTAATTCTAGCTTTGCTGAGATTCTGAGGATTTTCTGAAGACTGAGAATGTTCCAAGTTCTCTTTTTGTGCTCTTTTGGCTTCTGTGGTCTTAACGCTGCCGTGCTTATACTCTAAACTTTTATAAATTAACGAGGATTGCTGTGTAGTTTTGTGTTTGCTGTATTCGAAATGAAAACTAAGCATTACATTTTTGTTAAATTCACTTGAAAATATTACCGCTTTATTGAACATAAAAAGCGATTGAACTTAATAGCCATCATTTTGCACAAAACAAAAAGTTTAGAGAAGTAGTACTGTTTTGCAGTTTTTCAAATTTCTTACAACAGCTGTTCTGATCTTTGATTCTGTATTCAGTCTTTTGTGACATCATTTGCCCAGTAGCCTCTGGAAAACCTTCTGGACCCTCAGGAGAGAAATAGAAATTAAAAAGGCACTTAATGTCCTACTCTCCTAGTGTCTCATAAGCTCTGTGAAAGGATTTCAGAGATTGAAGTCCCTGGACCACATTGGTCTATTGTAAAGGGATGACAGGCAGGTTTTTAAAGTTTGATTTTTAATTCCTGTCTCAAATAGCATTGAGAAATGCAGTAGTCATTTTAACTTGAAAGCAATTCATAATCTCAGCAAAATTTTAGTTTGTTACAATATATCTGGGTAGACTGTGTCTCTAAGCTAAGTGATACGTTCCGATGACAGCTTGACTTGAGTTTTCTTATTTTTAAAAAAATTATTCTATATTTTCAAATAGCTTTGTTACCATCAAATACTTGAAACAGGTTATGTTAAGTAAGGTTTAATTGGAAAATTCCCTAATACTTTGGTAGAGTACATTGTATAAAATCTATAGAAACGTGTGTGTGTAAAGTACTTTATGTTTTTGATGAAAAGATTTTGTACCTCCCCATTTTTAAAGAAGAAAATATTTTTAAAGAAGAAAACATTTTTAAAATGTTGTATACAAGGAGGCTTCAAAAAGTACATGGACACATTTCATTACCTTTTAATTCACTGTTTCCCTTAAATTTTTAAAGCCCTTTCATATAGGGATACAACGAAAAGTTTGCCCTCCCAACATTAGGTTCGTGTACACTTTATTGATAATAGTGTTTTTGGTCAAGGTGTGCAGCCATCACCTCTGTTCATTTCCACATTGTCAACCGCCTTTCCCTGAAGTTCTGTGCCCCTGGGGAATGGTTCCTTCTTCCCCTCCTTCCATCCCTGGTCATCACAAATAGACATCGCTCTCTGTGTTTACCTGTTATCAGTATATCACATGAGTGGATCATACAGCATTTTCCCTCTTCTGACTGACATTTTACTCTGTAGCCTCATTTTAAAAATATGTTATTGGGATATAATTTACATACCGTAAGATTCACCCTTTTAAAGTATACATTTTTTAGAAACCATAGCTAGTTGTACAGCCAGTGAATATCCATTTTAAAATAAAAGATAATCTAATAATAACTTTTATATTTAGAACATGAATCTGCTTTCGGATGCTCGTTCTGCCAGAATGTACCGAGATGAATTAGATGCGCTTAGAGAAAAAGCCATCAGAGTGGATAAGCTTGAAAGTGAAGTCAGCAGATACAAAGAGAGGCTACATGATATTGAATTTTATAAGGCAAGAGTCGAGGTATGTTGCATAATTTAAACAACAGTTGTTATTTTCAAAATTCATTAAAATGCAGTGAATGTGAGGAAACTCTTGATGTGTTGAGCAAACAGCATATACTCCTGAGTGTTTCTGAAATGATAAATCAGTACCTTGGTCATTTAGTGCTACTCTCACATTAATACCACACATTAGGGGACTTCAGTGGACAGACATTTATTTTCTCATAATTTAGGAGGCTGGAAATCTGAATTTAGGATGCATGTTTCTAAAGTAAGGCAGCGCTCTCTCGCTCCACCCTGGAGGGAAAAATCTTTGCCTCAGTTCTTCTTGGCATTCCTTGGAATGCTACTCAGACTCTGTTTTCCCTCAGTCTGGCTTCCTTGCTGCTTTGCCTGGTTATATATTTATATTGCAAAGGATTATATATTTATATTGCAAAGTAAGTATATCGAAGACATACTCTACACCAATATGGCCTCATTCACATAAACAAAGGCCCCAGATGGAATCACATACACTTATATGCTGTGTGTTCTGTTGAGTTGATTCTGACACTCAGAGATCCTACAGGACGGCGGGGTACTGCTTGCCCCATGGGGTTCTTAGGGCTGTCATCTCTGAGGGAGCAGATGACCTGGTTTTTGCCAGAGCTGCTGGATGAATTAGAACAGCTGACCTTTCACCTGGCAGCTAAGGACTTAATTCCTGTGCCACTAGGATGACTCTCCATGTATAGAGGGGTTGGCATTCTAACATACATTTGGGAGGATGCTATTTAACCTGTCACAATCAGCATATTGCTTAGGCTGTGGTTTAGATTTTTCGTAATAGTGATTGCATTGAAGTTTTGGGGTTCTTCTTTCATGCCTTTACTTTAGCACCACAGGCCATGCAGACATTTAAAGCCCTGCTCTCATAAAGTAAAAGTATTTGTCTTTATAATCTCAAACTTGTCCTCAAAGTCAAAGCAAAAATACTTCTGATGGCTGTTACGTGGACATATATACATGTGTAAACAGATTGGGGGGAAAAATTCCTGCTGGATGGTTTCAGGTTAATGTTACATGAAGTTGAGTTTGGAAACAAGAATGCAACAAACCTTGTATCCCTTTAAAAAATGTCCTTGTTTTCTGTCTACAGAAGGGATTGTGGCCAGTTTCAGTGTGGGGATGATGGAGAAGGTATATGTAATGAGAATGTTGCAAAAGAAAGTAGTTGGGACATTGTAGCAGGGATGTTGTTAGTTCTGACTCATAGCGACCCTGTACAGAGCATAGCAAAACATTGCCTGGTCCTTCGTCACCCTCACGATTGTTCTTGGTTCCAGCCCATTGTGAACAGCCTTGTGTATGGGTCATCTTCCTTGTCAAGGACCTTCCTCTTTTTCATTGCTCCTGTATTGTACCAAGCATGAGGTCCTTCTTTAGGGACTGGTCTCTCCTGAAACAGGTCCAAAATACATTGAGACCAGTCTCACCATCCTTGCCTTCAAGTAGCATTCTACCTGAACTTTTTCCAAGACAGACTTGCCTTTTCTTTCGTCAGTTCGTGGAACTGACAGTAGTCTCTGCCAGCACCACAGTTCAAATGCACCACGTCCTCTGGTCTTCCTTAGTCCGTGTCCACCTTTCCCATGCATACAAGGCAGTGGAACATACCACGGTTTGGGTTAGGCACAGTATAGTCCTTAAAGCAGTGGTTCTCAACCTTCTTAATGCTGCGACCCTTTATTACAGTTCCTCATGTTGTGACGACAGCCCTCCCCCCCCCAAACCAAAAAATTATTTTCGTTGCTAGTTTTGCTACTGTTATGAATCAATCGGGCGACCCCTGTGAAATGGTCGTTCGACCCCCAAAGAGGTTGCACTCAACCCACAGGTTGAGAACCTCTGCCTTAAAGTATTATCTTTGCTTTTCAAGCTCTAAAGAGCTCTTGTGCAACAAATTTACCCATTGTGACATGTCATTGGATTTCTTGACTACTGCTTCCATGAGTATTGACTGTGGATCCAACTAAATCCTTGACAAACTCAATCTTCTCTGGATTTATTATGTTGTTACCTATTGGTCCAGTTGTGAGGATTTTGGTTTCCTTCACACTAAGTTGTAATCCATACTGAAAGCTACAGTCCTTCATCTTCATCAGCAAATAATTTCAGGTCTTATTGCTTCAACCAGCAAGGTTGTGTATCTGCATACAGGAGTTTGTTAATAAGCCTTCCTCCAGTCTTGATGCTGCACTGTTCATCGTATAATCCAGCTCCTCTGATGATTTCCGTAACGGACAGATTTCAGCAAATATAGTGAGAGGATGCACCCTCATGCATACCTTTTCTGATTTTACATCATACAGGATTCCCTTGTTCTCTTTGTGCAACTGCCCCCGCCCCCTGTGCAGGTTCCTTATGAGCATAATAATGTGTGTTTGAATTTCCATTCTTCCCAAGGCCATCCATAGTTTGTCATGATCCACACAATCAAGAGCCTTGGAATAGTCAGTAAAACACAAGTAAACATCGTTGTCGTATTCTCTGCTTGGAGAGTTACCAGAAAGTAGGGCCAGTAGATTGCTAATAAGGTAGAGTGCATATAAATTCTTTTAAGTGTATATGTTCATGACATTATTGCCACTGAGATGTGGTGTCGGGGCCACATCTGATCCCCTCTCGTTACACAAAAGATAATGCATTTCCAAACCAGCCCAAGACCAGTGGCCACAAGGCATAGGCCAGACATGCCTTCACCCTCCAACTTTCTTTTTTTTTTTTTTTTTTTACAAACCCTTGTGTCGAGGGCTGACTTTCAGTAGATCGCAGCGAGGGAGCTGCTCTGCTACGTACGAAACCCCGACCCAGAAGCAGGTCGTCTACGAATGGTTTAGC